CCAAACAGCCCCCTCCCCCTGGCCCCCCATTCACTCTAATCCGATTTCTCCCCATCATCATCTTGGTGGGCATCCCCGTCGTGGCCGTTCTTGTCCTCCTTGGAGAGGTGAGCCTGGGAGCCCAGGGCCGAGAGCGAGAGGAGCCCGGTGCCAGCGCTGACAGCAGGGAGGGATGGGGGCTGGAGGCCCACCGGGAGCGGAGTCAGAGGCAGAGCGAGGGCTTGGAGCTGCGACAGCTGGTGAGCTTGAAGCTGCTGCTGTAGAGAACGATGGACAGACAGGAAGACAGGAGAGGGACATTGTCATTTTGAGTGCACTTGGACTCTAACCCAAGGGCCTAGGCTGTCCTGACAGGCTGCACCAGCAGCCAAGCTTAAACCAGAGACCTCAGTGACCTGGAAAGCACCACAGCCTCAGGGGAAAAATAAAAAAAATAATTAAAAAAAGATATTCCAGAGTCCTTGGTCTGTGACAGCCTCAAAAGAAGACTCAACAGCATGGCCCCAGCACGACACACAGCCCCTAGCCCACAGGATATCTGGCCTCAGACTCTGGAATGTTCCAAGGATGCGGTTAAAGCCCTCTCGACCTTGACCAAGAACAGATGGTGTTTTCATGTCAAGGAGCTGCTGTGGTTCCGGCTCAAAACCAAAGCTCCTCTCCCCACACCCAGCTGGGATGGAGCAGGAATCTGAACTCCCCTGCAAACCCCTGCCCAAGTCTAGACAAAACCAGCCCCATGCTGGCAGGACCAGCCCAGCACTCACAACCTAATCCCAGCAGGGCTGCAGCACTGCTCCTGGAGCAGCCTGCTCCCAGCACACATCCCCGGGTCACAGCTCTCCTGCCCAGCTCTGTCTCGAAGGCCAAAGGCATGGATTCCTGTCTCCCCAACCCAAACTAAACATGCATCACGTACACGGATGATGGAGTTCAGTTCTGGTGCTGTAACCTGCTTGGCTCGTTCGATGGCTCCCAGGACTTGCTGCTGATGCTGGTGTGGAGAGAACAGTGGAATTCAGGGTCATTTCTAGTACCACAGGGAAGGAGAACAGGGACACACACACACGTGTACATTATCTCAGCTGCTAGCACCGAGATGTCAGGGCATGGAGGCAGGCTGATTAACCCCACAGCTGGAGACACCTGCATGCAATTCATTTCTAAGAAGGACCTTACACCACCGAGGCCCACGGCAGCGAGGAGCAGGGAAGGACACACGCTTGTCTCATTCCCATTCCTCACCACAAGGTTAAGCAGGTCCCACCTTACTGCCCTCCTTGTCCCTGCAACAGGCCCAGCGATCCTTGGCCAGAAGGGCTCTAAAGTGGGCAATGCCCCTCACCCTGCCTCCCCTCTCCTGCCCAGACCTGACACAAAGCAAGAACAAGCCCTAAAAATCAGAAGCTCTTGGGAAACTCCCCATTCCTTGGTACACATTCTGGGTCCCAGCTGCAACAGCTGGAAGATGCTGCTGTGGAAGAGCCCAGCACGGCTGCTCCCAACACAGGCAGGAAAAACAGCTGCATCGTGTACTTTAAAAAATAAAGGCCAGCTGTACTCGCTCTTCTGCCTCTTGCACAAGGTCTCCAAAAACCAGGCCTGTCCACTGCACTTCAACAAGTGGATTCTTCTTTCCATCTTGGCATCAGGAAAGGGTTGGGGAGGGGGAAGGGGTTGCATTAAGATGCAAAAGG